CAATCGAAGCGTTAGACGCGCGTTTATCGTGCGTCTAACGCTTTGCGTCTAAATCGACTCTTAATGCATGTTAGTAAATATGTCTTCAGTATGTTTGTATGCCTATTATTTGGCATTTATAGGATTCTATCAAATCCTAAATAACCTGTTTCCCCAAATAATTGAGTTATGAATTTATTAATACGAGCCTGAATGTGCACATATTATCTCAAGTTGTTAGTGATAGCACACACTGCAGTGTGTTAATGTGCGATTGTTTGCACATAACCTTTTACAATAAAGGGTTTGTCGTAAACAATTTAATTATTAATATTAATTTAAGTATAGCCTCATAATCATTCATGCGATATGCCGGAAGCAACTTTGCTTCCATATGGAAGTGTACCGCAGGGTCGTGTACTCGGTCCTCAGTTGCTCTTAATTCACACGAGTGTAAACAGGTAAATCGTGACTCAGTGTAAGTACATAACAATGGACCTGATTGACAGGAAATCTTCTAGATAGAGAACTAAAGTAAAGATAAATTCATACTAAAGCTTTTAAAACCTGCAACGTCAATATTTATATAGTTTATCGTGGAAATAGTCTAGGGGAGGACTGAAAATCAGCAATATTCATAATAATATATTATAAATTGATCCAATTTTAGGATAATTCATAACGCAGGTTCTATAAAAGTTAATCGTAACGACAATGTTTCAATGCGCGGCCAAACTAACTAATGTTGGGTCATAGAAAAATTGTTCTTTCGAAAAAATATCCATTTTTCAGAAGAAAAACAAAAGTTCTTTATTATGTACATACTACAATATTTTTTAACAAAGTATTTTTTTAAATACATTGGAAAATTCCACCATTTGAAATTTTTCGGTCAATTACACAACACTAGGCCGAACATTAGGCATACAAACATACTGAACATTAAGTTATCTGTTTAATAACTAAAGAAGTAAAGAAGTTTCGTGAGATATGTATACATTCACATTTTGCATATTCGTATGGCTTGTAACTAATCACAATGCACAATTTACAGTTATGTTAGTATAAACCTTAGTATGTACCTTAGAAGTACCATAGTATGTACCTTAAAATACACGAAGTACATAGAATAAAAAGTACAAATGACAGTTATACAATTTAATTACACGATAACTACGTAAAACCTCAAATCTAGAAACAAAAATACGCAAAGCACCAAAACGTAACATTGTAACCACACATGAACACTAACTACGTCGTAATACTTGCAGAACTACGTTAATGTAGTTCCCTTCCTTTCGAGACAATACTGTTTTCTAAAGTCCAAGCTTCGAGGTTTCACGGAAACATACGATATAAAAATCATAATTATTGAGAAATTCTTTAACGCGAATTAAACTTTATATTAGTAAATTAATGTGAATTAAACATAAGAACAGGCGAAGAAAATTTGATCAGATCCGACGTCGACAAGCGCCCGATGGTGACTGGCGGGGCAACGGGCAACACGGCGTTTCGTTATATCGCTGACCAATTTGCAAATTTTGGGACAAATGTGAATTTCTAACTAACAGGGCTTCAGTTGAAATCCAAAATTTACCAGGGTCTCTGTAGTACCTAAAGATAAATATCTTCATATAAAAATTACATACAAAGTTAGATATTTTATTCTTAAATAATTCGTTTTAAACGTTTATTTTAGCCTGTTTTCAAAATATTATATGATCTGATAAAGTACATCCTATCGTGTAACACATTAGCACATTCTCAAGACAATGTCCTTATGTGTATCGTATATTTTTTGTAACACCGTTATTTAGCAACAGTTTTTCCAGCTTCTCCTCCGGTGACTCGAATCTCTAAAATGTCACTTTGAATATTAACCTTGCATCTAAACATTTAAGGTAAACATTGAATCGATTAGTTAGGAACGTTTAAATGCAAGTGTCCCAGAAAACATTTTTACAATTCAATTTTAGAATGTCACTGCCTAGCCTTAACCGAATATTAACCTAAATCTTTTAAAATTGGGTCTAAATGACCGAGCAAACTTTTACTTGTAGTACCGAACTGCTAAGAACTTTAAAATGTCAAATAAGAATGACAATACAATCGTGAACTTTCGTGAGTCTCGAATACTTCCGAAGCTTGCAGTTTAGAAAATAATAATGTATTTGTCTATTAGACACAGAGGTACTCATAGCAATCAAGACAGTCGAGTAACAAGATTAATAAATCAGTTCAAATCGATGGCAAGGACCAAAAGTGTCACTCAATACGGCTTGTTGACATCCCCGACCTTTCTATTAAGAATTCTGGAAAGCTTCGTGGAGCATTGGCAAGAGTACTACGTCAATCGATTAGTTGTGTACAATCTAACTTATTGCAAAACATGCCTAAATTAAAAAGTTGTTTTTATTACTATATCCTTGTTCAATCGTGTTAGTCAAACTAGATCATTATACCAATTGACTGATACGAAAATTGGTCTTTAATCAAATTGCTTTCGCATTATATCTCGTCTTAATAATAATGTGCCAGACAACCACATCTCTGGTGGTAAGCGAGACGCCTGTCCAAAGCAATTGCAGTGCCACAAATTGAAAAGTCCCAAGCCCCAAAGTCCCATTTACCAAAACCTGGTCTCTAACTTGGGATTTCCTTGTATTATGAGTTCCAGAGCTACAAAATCAACTCCGGCGAATGCGCCGTTGGGGAGTGCCTCAGCCCGGCACCAATCGAATCTGAAATCACCGAGGTGATCTTTCGAGAAGAGCAAAGCGTATAAACTCAACCATACTACTTAGCTTATACGAGTTACAAGCCATCAGCTCACCCTTTTGTTAAAATAAAAAATAAATAAAAAACAACAAAAACATGTAGGTATCCCACATTTCACACACAAAAAGTTTATACTAAAAACCGCCCATTTGATACATTAGTATTTTTTGCAAAACTAATAAGGTAACCTTGAAATATAGTTAAAAGATGGTTTTTCCTGCGCAAAAAATGGTTTTTCCAACTTCTAAATCTATTTTAAGTAAAATTGGTTTTTGCGCATTTTTTTATATCCCCAGATTATGCGCATCCGTTGTAACTTGTAAATAAAAACCAAAGGAAGTAATCTACCTATAGTAATTCTTTTAATTATCTTGGAAAAGTATTTTCGACCTTAAATTTATGTAATTAAAGTCAGGAGACAAATAAGGTTTACCTTTTATAAAGCGTACAAGCCTAAAAACCTGTTGAAATTGTTCATGACTCAGAAAAACCGCCCAGATCATATTTCAGACACTGAATTCAACAAATCGGAACATTTTTATTTTAATTACTCACTTTTTATTTTACGGTCCAATGACCGACCGACCTGATACTGTAACGAAACGCAATATTTTTTTTAGACATGCACGCCAGCTACAATCGAAAATCGAAATTTATTTGATTTATTCACAAGCATGCCCACTCTTACAAATACGTTTTAAATCTTTGTTATATAGATGGTAAACGAGATACGATTTTTTTTAACGGAAACATGACAGCTTAATAAATAAAACGAATCGAATTAAAGCTTGTTGGATTGTTTATGATTTAGTGTATTAATTTTAAACATAATTCAATTCTTTGGCGGTAAGGATCACGAAAACGCTGACACGGCTATAATATAAAGCTAAATTTATTTGACACGATCATTTTTATGACAAGACGAAATGATTAAATCAGAAATTTGACGAAAGGACTTATTTTATTTCTGGTTTCATAAATTGGAACATCAATATTTCTAATTGATCATTTCGCTGCGATATACTTATGATGTTACAACTGCACTAATAATAATGCAATCGATTAAAGCACGGTCTGTCATCCCTAAGCGCTTGTTTAGTTTCCGATGCGCAAGAGCAGTTTACCCATAAATGTCACAATTTGTTTGGACTATTAATGCCTATTGTAAAATACGAGTAAGTACGCACTGTATACAATAACCAATAGCAATTATTTGCAATTGTGGTCATATGGCAGTTTTCAAAGCGTAGGAATATGCCTCATTCACAATATAAACAGCAAAACAACTGAGACTTTGTCTAAGCAAGAACGGGTTGGCGAATCATGAAGTCATGATGGACAACCCCGCTTCAAAGCAAAAACTTCCTTCAAGGATTATCATTGAGCCTGATCTTAGGGTTACAACTCCATACCCTACCACCTTACCACCCCAGAAAAAGCAACACTGAGCAGCACCTGTGGAACATAAACACACTCACGCCCGCAAGCAGGCGTACTAACAGTTTCCGCCTTTGAGGTCTCAGTAGGACCAATGTGGAAAATAAACTTTTCCAAATAGATTCTCGTCTCAATGTTCTATAGGGATCTTCACAGAGATCTCGAGCTTTATGTCGCTCTCGCCTTCAAGATAATAATATCCTCTGGCACTCATAGTACAGACAATTCCTTGAGACCACGTAAATGGTGTGGTTGGCTGGCACATAGTTATTATTACAATTACATCACAACAAAACAAATCCACTGCTGAAACACCTTCCTCAAACATTTCCAGACTAGCCGGTCGGACACCGCCCTAACAAGGTCATCCGTCCATCTGGATGGACGGCTTCCCTCTAGATAGTAGGAAGCCGTCCCAGTGAACCCTTCCGGTTCGTGGTTTCCAACCTTTCTGCCCCAACGGCCGTCAGTTCTACGAGCTATGCCCTGCCCATTGCCACTTCAACTTGCTAATCCTTTGAGCTATGTTCAGCAATGGACGTCTTCCGGCTTATATGAGGATGATGATGATAAAAATAAGTCGCGATACGGTTGCGTGAGTTCGAGAGTAGTTACTATTTATTATGTAGTAATAGTGGACCGATACAGGATTGTATTAACGGTAGTTAATCTCTGGTAGATCATGGCATCATATTTTCTTTATGGTTTTCATCGAGCCAAACAATACAACGTCTACTGATGGAATGAAGTTACCATCGCTGGGTCATGAGCTAGTCAATCTTGATTGTTAAAAATACACTTACCTGGCTCCAATAACCTCTGCCAGTCGCCCGCCTGGTAATTCTGTGAGCACGTATCCCCAAAAGAAGCAACCCAGAAGCAGGTTCTTCTCTTTCGTGTTCCAGTGGTAGCGGGTTTGTTGAATGTGCTCTGGGTGCTGTAACCAAGGTTTACTGTTAATTTTTTATCTTTATAGATATTACTTTGTTTGAACGGTGCAAGACTTTGGTGTGTATCTCCTTTCTTCACTAACAGTAAAGTATCTGCCATTTTTGTCGAAAAGTGTTAGAGCAAGCGCAAATCGACAGACGGGAAGACAGAGGACATTAAAATTATCAATGTTATTTTATACTATTTGAACTGGAATTAGGTAAAAATGTTATTGCTCTGAGACCTTCCTCGAAACATCACAGCTCATTTCTCTCATTGACAAGCACGCTAGAGGATACCGCGGCGGGAGGCGCGACACGACGCGCGATACGACGAAATCCACCGGCATGCAACTGAATCCACCAGCATGCGACGAAATCGACGAAATCCACCGGTATGTGTCGGAGAGTTTTCGACTGCATAGTTGCTAGTTGAACGAAACCAAATCTGAGCAACCGGTGGCATGTCGGCGGATACAGCGGCATTATAGCGGCTCTGCGGTACGCTGGCGGATGCTCGCGGTATAGGGATATCTCATAGTGTGCGCTTTTCTTTGGTCTCCCTGACCGTACGCCGGTTTGTGTTGGCATTAAGACGTATGCTTAGTCGACTTCCGAAAACGGACATTCTCCAGTAATCGTCGTATGTTTATCGTTTTTACGTATGAACATAGTTACAACGAATTCGACACGAGCTGCATGTCAGGTAAGTGTTGAATTGAAAATGCACTGCCGGGAAAAAGTGGTTAACACATTTATCAACACTGAATCAAGTCGATTAGAAAAAGCTATATGTCCTTGTAAAGAGACCAAAATCGACGTGGTGAGTTTCTCATTGGCGCGGCGGTCCAAGCGGAAGCGAACGCGCTACGTCTTTTTAACAACACTAATAGCACAACATAAATGCAGTGATTCCCGAATAATAGTTCCGACGGTTAGTCAGGACAGGGATGATGAAGCCTATTCTTGTATGAGAAAGCGCTACAGTTGTAGTGATTTATTTAAATAATACTACATTATACGATTTTTTAAAAGTTGCGTGCCTCATCAGGGTATCGAATCGACCTAATGTGAAAAAAATTCTGTACTTTTACAATGCCAATCGAAAGGGTGAATTCCGTCGCCGTTAGTTGAATGGGCGCATGTGAAATTACTTAAAACAAAAAATGGTATGTATACTGCCGTGATCAGTAATAAAAGGCCGATCTGTTACCAGTTTCATTGTTTCCTTTGTGAATGGTATGAAGTTACCGCAAAGGAAGAGATTTTTAAATTTCATTTCTTTATGCGTTATTTTCCCGATTTTGTGTTTTTGTCACAAGCGCCCTTCAACTAACGGCTGCAGAATTATAAGTATTAACTCCTATTAAGTAACATGGTACGACTTTTAAAAATATTGTGTTCATGAAGCCAAATATCCTATCTACAATATTTAAAATAGTTTCCCTCAGTGTCCCATATCCGCAGGAGGAGAGTGGCTAATTCCTCCTCCAGAAATTCCGCACTTACTTTACTACGGTTTTGTATAAAAGTGATTGTAAGTAAAAACATACTTAAGTATTTAGTTCCGATTTCTTGCCTTTTAGTCTTAATTATTCTGAGATTTCTGAGAGAGGTATTTATATACTCTTTTATGTGTCCATTGAAAGTAAATATAGGTACAAATGCCTTATCAAATCTCTGTAAATACCAAAGACTTAACTATGGTTACTTAAAATTACAACAAAAACAACAACAAGTAAGTCAACTGGACGTTGGTTCGTGGAACAAGGTGACATCACATCAGAAAAATTTGTCACAGTAGAATAACATGAGGAAAACTAGCTGAATAAATATTAACAGAACGAGGTACTGAAAATAGAACAATTAGTTTGCAATGATATTTTTTTGCAATGGTTTACATACTTTGTATTGTTTTGTAACTTTAAAACCAAACTAAAATACACTTCGATCAAATATATCAGTAGATGCACGATACAATACAAAATCAAACCCAAACATCGTCCTCGCGTCAAGTTTATTTATATAGGTCTGTAGCTCTTTAGTTATTTAACAAGTAGTCCTAAAGTGTGATGTAATTCAATCTAATATAGATCTTAGAATATTAGAAACAGCGTCGTAATACATCTGTGCGAATTTCTACATAATTATTATCTTTCGTCTTCAATAATAAAATTTAATAATATCCAGGAACGAAACAAAATATCTAAACAATTGTAACTATTTTATTGAAAAAAAACCGACTCAAAAGTTTCCTTTTTCCGATTTCCATGGGATCCCGTCATCAGATTCCGACTTCTTGGTGACAATACATTTTATATTTTTTTCTGGTTGTCATGGTGACGGTGAATTGTTGATTACATGTTGTTGTTTCAAGTGAAAAGTCGACTTTTATTTGCGGAATATATTAATTTATGATAGCCGAAAGGAACCCGGAACAGTATCGTCAAGACCATCTCGATAATATAGGTTCAAAAAAGAATTCAACAAAAAAAACAAAATCGATCCACAATTGACGGAGAATTCGGTAAGTACACTGACATGCCTATAAAATTTGAGGATTTTCCTCGATTTCCATGGATGTCCTCCTCAGATTCTGACTGGTGACAATGATATCACCACGAGTGCACCCTTTCAAACAAAAAAAGAATTTTCAAAATCAGTCCACAATTCATGAAATCGGAAAACATACATAAAACATCCATACAGCCGAAGATATAACATCCTCCTTTTTGAAGTCGGTTAAAAAAGGGTATTTCGTAATGAATCTTAAGTGACCCGTAAACGATTAAATAATTTGTCAAATTTAACGTGTTTGTCACAACTTTTTGACCGTATGTAGTCGTGTTTAATGCGTTTATCAAATAATGTACGTGTTCGATGTGTTTGATGGAAATCTAGATTGACGACGTGTTTGGCAAACATGTTTGAAGGTATGCGGGAATATTTGTCAAACCAAACTTCAGTTGTCACCTTCATTTCTTTCACAATAAACTCGTGGTAGAGGCACAGCTTACAAAAAGAAATAATAAATTTGTTATAATATGCCAAAAACAAACAATATTTTGTTGGAGTAGTAATTTTAAGTAAAAATTACAGCATATTAAATAGATAGAAACAGAAATGATAAAGATAAAAATAAAATCCCCCAACTACTTGATGCGTAAAAGGGAATATTTTTCCATAGAGTCTTACGCCATAGAATCGATAAATCGAATCAGCTATTATATATCTCGCTTCAATACGAGTGCATACACTCTGTAAAGAAATCGACTCTCTTTTGTTATGAGTTTTGCATAACGTTTTTGGAGTAATTATTCAAATTTCGCTTCGTTGCAGTTTATTTTATGCTTTGTTGTTGACTTTTTGTTGTTATTTTTTTATTTATTGTGTATTATTCTAGTAACTTAATAACATAATTATCTAATGCTCTTTACTTTGTCTATTATTTGTTCTTAAATTATTATCCCTAAAAACTTCAAATCTTTACATCACCATACCTATGCCATGTGAAATGAAGTCAAGCTATAAGCTATGCCGCTTACGATAACAACGGTACAAAGTGTCAAGCTTCACGTGCTCTTGACTGTACCAGGGCGATATAAATCGTGAGATACTACAATTCACGTATAGAGCATAATTTTGTTATTCACTTTATTCTTGAGGGTACAATTTATAATGCACTATATATATATATATATATATATATAGCTATAGGATAGCCTAAGCTATCCTTTCTGTTGATCTTTCAAGGACTTTGAACAATGACTTAGTCATAAATGTATGTTGTTCGTATTAATGTATGTATGTAAATTTCTATCTTGCATTATAAATCGTTGTGGGAGGAAATGCGTGTCACAATAGAACGAATAATGTGTTGTTAGGTTACACTTCGGTTTCCTATATTTAATAATGACAATAAATAAAGCTGTTATTTATTCCGTCTAACGTCGTTGAGTGCGTCGAAACGTCTGCGGCACGTTTTAATGTGGCATGTTCATATAAGCTCGTACATTACAAAAAATCCCGCGCCCGGAACGCTTCGCGCTACGAGCCTCTGTGGCCAGAGCATTAAAGTTGTGAGGAATATCATTATTTATCAAAAAAAAATGCAAAAAAAATCGTCTCGATATTCCACAAACTATTTCTAAGACCATGAATTATCAGCTTCGACCTAATGTGGCACTGCCAGGAATGTCATCGTTTTTAAACAAACTGTTGAAATATGATGACATTCCGGACAGCTTTTGTTCTTATGCTTCAGAAATAAAAAATAGTTTACTTTTTCTATGGAGAAATATACATATAATTTTTTATCTACAAATATAGGTAAAAATTACGTAACGTAGCTTGCTTACAGTATGGTTCCAATCATACTTTCCTAAGAAAAAATAATCCATCAGCAAGTCTACTTCCAGTTTTACGAGTAACAGCGTTTGTGCACTACGTCCGAGAAATTACAGTCTGGAATGTCACAGGGATCATTTTATCTCTAGGTCACAAGCGATAATTGTATTTTCTCGAATCTCGAATCGGATTTAGTGCACAAGCGACATTCGCATCACGCGTCTTTTCATTTGGTCAAGTATTGCTTATTTGGCAGCAATTGTTTCAGACGGATGTCAGACGGCGATCGAGACTAGACCCCTCGGAACGAATACGAAGAGGCAGTGCACAAACGCGTTAGTGGAGCGGCAAATTTTTAACCCCCGACGCAAAAAGAGCGAAGTTAGTTTGAAACCTTTGTCTGCGTATCTGTTTGTGAAAACGAATGGTCTGCTCTCAAAGCCGTTTTTTATGAACCTTCAGCTAATTTAATCAGAATGGTTCTAGGTATGTTTGATGACCACCTGTTCAGCTGTTTAAAGATCGTCAGCTGTTTTGCAAGTTCGTCTAAGGATCTCAGTCATAAAATGAATAAGTATTTATTTCAATATAGGTATTCTATGAAAATCCGATGACATTACAATAATAATCGGAGATAGTGCAATTACGCGTAACTAGCATTGGGTTATGAGTTTCCATTTCGGTAATTTAGTGGCCAAAATGTCGTGGCCAACAAATTAGCGTGATTTACGGGAATCTTCTTTTATAAATAATAGAATAGACACACGCTAGGCCACAATCTCACATGATGACAAGGGACGATGTGACCGACGAAGGTACGCGTTTGCCTAAAAATACCTATCACTCTAGCCTTGAATAGCCCAAATTGTTTTCGGGAAACACAGTATCAGTATCAGTACATTACAGTTACCTATCAGTAGTACGAAATGACATTTTCCAGAAATAACGTTTGGTCGAAATTTCATAACCTAGAAAGTAATTTTGAGAGGAAAATGTGTTTTCTTTTAAACCTAACTTAACCTAACCTAACCGAACCTAATGGTGTATTTGCGATAAACATTCAACATGTCCTGAAAGAACAAATGTTTCGTTATAATTCGGTTTTCGGTGTTACCAACACAGATTCCATTCCTTTGCCCTACGCATCTGAAAGGAGAAAGCAAAGCGCTTAGTGCGAACTAGTGTGAATCTAATCTGCAAATCGTAGACATTGGAATAACAGAGTAATAACACTGATAACGTTAAATCCCTCTCCTATAAAGTTTAATTTAGTGCAGACTACAGATACGCGCCTTTTACCAATGCTTCTTACGTGGCCTTGCAGTATCTGGATGAATCTGATGCTGCAACTAGGACAGTGTACCCACCCCTCAACTAATTGCAGCAGAATTATCGTGTTTGGGCTCATTGAATTGGTCTCGACGAATAGTTGGCTTAGGCACAAGTGGTGACTTACTATTTGTATCGAAGGTAGTTCTCTAATTTCCGACGATATTGCATTACACTAACCTCTGTAACATTGAGACTGTCTGTAATATTGTGATTAAGGGCTGTAACGTTGTCATTTTCATCGTAGATCATCTCCACAATGGCGATAGTCAGGTTGACACGTAGAGAGTAGTTCAGCATGAACCCCAGCAGTACCATGATGTTCAGCACCTGGACGCATGTCAGACGTCCTGTGGGGAAGAAAATAGGGGGATTATAATTTATATCTAGCGAGGGAAAGAACAAGTCGTGGGCCTGGTGATAGGCGACACGCCTAGCCATGACAGTTGCAGTGCCACTAAGTGCTTTAAATCGCGAAGATCTGAGAGGCACTGCCAGTGCACCCGCCACCTCGAGACATAAGTTGACAAGTGAAAAACATGACTCAGTAATGCTCACATTACTGCTTGACGCAAGAAATACAGTCAAAGTCAAACCGTCTTTTTAACCGACTTCAAAAAAGGAATGAGATTCTCAATTCGACTGTTTTTTTTTTTGTATGCATGTTACGCGATACTCGTTGTGAATCGATTTTTATGATTCTTTTTTTGTTGGAAAGGTATCGGTTCCATTTAAATTTAAAGAAAATATTCCACCTCTAAGGGTGGCAAACTAGGGGATGAATCCGGTTTCGCGCACTTGAGAAACGGATGTAATTCCACGAACTTTTGAGGTCGGTTTTTTAGTATTCTTTACTAAGATTATTATTTCATACGTAAGCAAATTACACTTGAAATTGTAATGTATAAGGCACTTCCCTGGACGAACTCTTTCATATGGAGGTCTACTGCTAATAAGTTATTTATCAATAAGATGTTTTGCATACGTGCACAAACTTATCACGAACACAGTGACATTTTTAATGAAAAACAGACACACGTTTGGCCACAATCTCATCGGATGTTAAGAAAGACACGTTTGTATAAAAAATAACTACGCATTAGCCTTAGTTTGCTGTTTTCGGGAATCAGAGGTATCTGTAGTGTATTCCATTGCTTAGCCATACGCATTCGGCTCAATTTACATCGCACGGAACGGAATGGAAGCCAATTTTATAGCATAACGAACTTTGTGTCAATTACGTAACGTAGAAACTATATACAAGCCACATGACAGAGAATTCTTCCGGAGAATTCTTGCACGGTTTCAGCAATTCCTCGAAATCTTCAGCAAACCCATGAGAATGCTAAAATTCGTAGCACGAGTAGGGCCCTCCACCCACCAAAACGAGTACTACAATTTCGAGTTGCGGAAACCAGCCCACGCATTAACCCATACCATACTCTAGCAGAAATAGTTGGCTACCTACTTTTTTTATGATATATCGCCTGGTAGTAAGCGACATGCCTGCCCACAGCAATTGCAATGCTACTTGGAGCTTTAAATCACAAAGATCTGAGAGGCACTGCCACAGCGCCTGTCACCCTGAGACTTAAGTTGACAAACCTCACGTGTCTGTAATTTCACCAGCACCCTTATTATTGCCGTGATATCGTCACAACTGTGTACGTAAGGGTAGAACATATCTAGCTTCAAACCCGGAACGCAGTAATTGCTCACATTACTACGTGACGACAGGAACAGGTAAGGTGGCAGTACTTCCCTGAACGACCACTATCACAATGAGCTCTACTACAAAGTTACTTACCAGGCTTGGCAGGAACACAATGGCCTTGAACAAGGCGAACTCAGAGCGCCCTGAATACCTTATACAATAGAATATGACCACGTTCACTACAATGTCAGAACCAATTTACTCATAACAAATATGTAAGCAGCTAATTGCCCTTTTTCATTGTTGTATAAACATCTTTTCCGTTTACAGATGAACCTTTTATTACAAAGTATTATGAGCGCTTTAAACACCCTTTTGACATACGCTAATGAAATACACGTGGCTTATAAACTCCACGTGATGTTATAAACTAAACGTGGGAACTGCATCTACTGCAATCCGGTTATAACCAGCCATAACCGGCTGCAACCAGTACAATATCCGCGAATTACCATAAATTCATCGGTGGTATTATGCAACAGGTCGCAGACCTGTTTTTACGTCGAATTTTAATATCTGACACAAGGACGGTTGGCGAATAAAGTTGTAAAGAAGTATTATATTTATTACCGGTGTCTTTTGGCCTAAGTACACCAATATCACATCGTAAAGTATTAAATGTCAAACAGAGGTGTATTTGAGAATAAAAATACAAAACGATCGTACAAAACGAGTATCATCAGCACTCTTCAGCATCAATCATGTTAGCAATACTCCGCACAAAACGACCATGCTGGATGCAGTGTTCTACCCCTAAGTAGACAATTCTGACGATTACACGGCAATCATAAGGGCGCTCCGTCACTGCGAGCATTCGCTTGCAATGTAACAATCTGTTAAGATTGTAAGGCTGCGACTCCATCAGATATAGTGGAAATATTTTCAAGTCTTTACTTAAGTTAGGTGCCCGCAAGTACCTTTGATTGCCCGCGATTGCCTATTAGTGTGTTTATTGTGGAGATAAATAAAGATATATTATTATTTATACAAGCCAATCTAAACCGTATGTCTTCTTTTTAAATTTTATATTAAAGTCGATTTCAGTGCTCTTTGCTTGAGGCGTGTTATTTCCAGGCGGTAGAAGTTATATTTGTTACATCAGGGGTACGTTAGGCGTTACAAGTGCAGCTCAGGTGTTATGCCTTGCAAGAAACAAAAAGTATGAAAGACGATTGTCAATTCCTCCGCGTAAGAGTCAACCTTTACTCGTAGGTGGCAAATTTGTAAAAGAAATCTAAGTTATTGGATGGATGATACTATTATACTAATGATAAGAATGTACTTCAGATAAAAAATATCCCTGGCAACTTATCAGGCAAATGGGCCTTATATCACTTTTAAATACCAACTCTCGTTTGCACTGAAATCACAAATTAGAAAGCTGAAATAGTGCAGCGCCAACAACTGACCTGTGTGTTCATCTCCGTATATTCCAGCAATATTCCGTATTTTAATATAGATAATATCTCTAACAGTGGGAGGCTGTTCCATTCAGTCGTGTGGGAAAAATAGCCAAACATCTAATTACAAAACAAACGCGATCACATTTCATCGGTAATTAAATATGTAATTTTTCAATTTTCGTCTATTACAGTTAGCTCAAGTTAAACAATTGACGACACCCGTCAATTGCTTCGAATTCGAGCTGGCCAATCAGAGCGCATTTGTCACCGTAATAATTTGGCAGAATAGTTTTCTTTCTGGTTATATACTCGATGGAGGGAACCAAAAACAAAACAGTTAATCTTTTTTTTTTATTTCTAAAGATTAGATACTAAATCATTTGTTCAACTCGCCACCGATTGACTTTAAAGTCAATCAATAATTGTTTGATCATTGTTTTGATTTGTAAATGTCAATATTTAGATAGTACGTCTTTTTTTAGACTTGACTTCTCAGACGTTACGCACTACAGTGTTATGCCAGCAAATTCCTGTCTAGTCTAAAAAATCGAGAAAAAAAGCAAATTTTGGCACTAAGTACGATAACAACAACTCGATAATAATAAGAGTACAGGAAAACGCAGGCAATCTTTCTTCTGCAGACGCCTGCCACTTGGGCAATTTATAAATATAGCCTCAAGAAAACCTTGAGAGATTAATTTCATAAAGTTAACATTTTTACCCTTTTTTTTTAAAGTTGTTTATGCTACAAATTAGTGTCTAATAGCAAAGAAACATATTCATGAAAAGTTATAAACGACAAATAATTCTTAATATAAAGATCGTCTCTTTAAACACGGTTCTGGCAGAATATCAGCGTCGTGGGAAACTGCGGCATTTATGCTGAGCCAGCGCCTTTTCACTGCCATGACTTCCAAAACTATTTACTTTAATTAGTTATATGTGTACTTATACGTTCATTCTGGTTTTTTTTTTAAAAAAAGGCCCCGCACAATGGTAACCCTGTGTCGCGGCTGCCATGGACACACAAATAGACAACCACAAATTACATCCAAACTTACGTAAATGTAGACCATACAAAAATTTCTCCCGGCCTGGGAATCGAACCTGGGACCTCTGCGTGGCAGTCAATGGTAACCGTTCGGCCACGGAACGACGGCAGTAAAAACAAAAAATATTAAAAATATAAAAAAATTAAAATTTGTTATTTTAAGTGGTTCAATGGTGTTAGTTTTAGTGGATCCTATGTAAATAAGTTGTCATGGAAGTGAATAATGTTTTTATCAATCTATCTATCTATTATATCGAATACTTAGGAAAAATTCCCTTCTTCCTTTTTCCTGAAATTTGATCCGGCCGGATTCGAACCGACGTCTCCTAGCAAACCGTGCCAGACGCTATACCAACAAAGCAAAAAAAATTTTCTGTGTTCGATCTTTGTACTAATAATTATAACAAATTAGTGGAGCAAATTCACAACAAATAATTGAATATCATGTTGGTTAAACATTCTGTCATACAATAAAAGTTTAATAACATAAATAAATCAAACCACTTTGTAAAATTATTTTATTTTTAGGAAATGAAACTATTTTTCCGGTTTTAAATCGCGTATATTTGTTTTTCTAATATTGATGCAAACCACCCTATTATATCATATTATATCAATATTAGACATAACTGGTGGAAGACTGTACCACCTCAGTCAACCGTGACCATGGGACCTGTAAAGGGCCCGAAACGTCGGTTTGTTTGAAAAAACAAATATAGTAACAATCGAGAAAACCTAAGAACTCGATATTTTATTTTTATTTCATTTTTTTTGTTTACTTGTTTTTTTACATTTGGAGAATGTGTTTTACTTTTACACTAAATTATTACCAAGACTAAGTACATTGGAATACAGTTTTGTTTATTAATGTATCACAGTGTATCTGTTACCATGTGATATTCAAATTGTGTATCAATCAGTTCGCCAGTTTTTAAATAATAAAAAAATAATATAAAAAAAAATAGAACTGGTCGATTTTGACAGTCGTCCCCACATAGTCACAACTTAATTTAAGAAATTATTAACGAATACGCTTATTTAATAAGGCCCTAGTTAATATTCAGAATTTGCTATTTATGTTGTTCAAAATCATTATGAAATAAAATTTATAGAGAACACGACATTTCATAACTGCGATCATGTTATCTCCAGATATCTATTCTAGATCCTTCAGGTTTTGTC